AATGAAGCAAAATCCGCTGCCAAAGCACCGTTCGCAACTTTCATGCACCCGCTACAATACGATTTACGACTCTCAGCTGCCAAAAACAATAGTATTCCGCAAACAGGGGCAGCAGCGAGGAACTTTCACGCAGCCATTCCACTGCGATCAGCAGAGACTGCGTTGCAAAACACGATAGAAGTACGCACAAGGGCTACACAAACTGCAGCTCCAAAACCAGACCTCGACGCCCAAGCGGAAGAACGACGATTTTGAAGCACTTTTCCAAGGAAATTTGAAAAGGAAAATCATCAGTGCCAAAATGAAGAAAAAATCTGCTGCCAAAACACCATTCGCAACTTTCATGCAGCCATTATAATACAATTTATGACTTTCAACTGCAAAAAAAAAATATTCCGCACGCAGCCGCAGCAGCGAGGAACCTTGACGCAGCCATTCCACTGCGATCTGCACAGACTGAAACGCACAACACAATAGAATTGCAACACACTACTGTAGAACACATCGCTTTGATGCGCCAGTTCCACCGCAGTGTCTCAACACATGCAAAACACAATAGCACAGCGTCAACAAAACAAGAGAAAGTCACCTGGAGCCCTCAGTTCCACGGCGCGTGCAGTTCGAGCAACATTCCACGGCGTTTCCTAAGACCGTCGCGCGTGCAAGCCAACTTTTTTCCGCAATGGAACCTCATCCGTTTACCCGAGAAAAAAGCAATGCAAATCCTATAACAATCAACTCGTATCCATGATGTATAACAGTTCCAATGCGATCCACGAAGCGTGACTTGCAAAAGGCAATTAGAATCGCGAGACAGTACTGGAGAACAAGTACCCTTCGAGAAGCCTTGGCGCAGCCATTCCATTGCGATCTGCACAGACTGAATTGCACAACACAATAGAAAGTAAAACTATTCGAGCTGCCAACATGGCGTCGTTGTGGCCTGTAGGACTTGGAATCTCAAGTCTGCGGTCTACTTGAGGCCGGGGGTGACCCTGGTCGGAACTGGGGAACTAGAAGATTTACATTGAAAACCATGGAAAACCCTAATTCACCCACTGCCTAATCATCATTATCCTTATCAAAATGGCCATAAGTTGGAGCATACAAATCATTTTCAGGCGCGCCTGGTGAAGGGTAGAACTACTATAAAATACTGGTTTTAGATTTCGCCAATTTGACATGGAACCAGCGGCAACCAACAAGCCTTGATGGCCTGGGCCTGGGTCACATGCACAGTGGATGGCTATTCACCGTGGTTTCTCCAATTTTTTTCAGAGAAATTTGTCGGGTTCATTGGTACCCCATGTTTGATCCCAATATGTGCAGCTGATGGTCAGATGGATTGTAGATGATGTTTTTCCCAAATTTGTGAGTCATTGAACAGTTGTTATGTAGTTCATTTTTTGGCAGACCTGTTCTTGGTTCAAGATGATGCTTATCCCAAATGGGATGATCTGTGGATATGAAACCATTCATTCATGATTCAAGAATGTGGTGCTGTACCATTGGACTTGCAAGAAAGTTCATTTTTTGCATTGTAGTAGATAATCTGGTATTTCGCATTTCAACTACCACAGTACAGTTCCAATCATGAGCCAGCCAAAGATGGAAACAAACCATTTCTGGCCCCTTTCCACTTCCAAGTTTGACTTAGCTGGCCGTGCTGGGCATGTCTCGGTTCAAGGTCAGAGCTGGCGACCTTATGTGAGGTTAACCCCCGGAAAGCAACGACTGGTGGGTGGTTGCCACCAGCTAGTGAGCGCCTGTTGAGATTGAGGTGGAAGAATTGTGAAACCAGCTACGTCCCAACATCATTATGAATCATGTCACAAAAGATCTTCAAGAAACCATCACATAGCTCGCTTGAACATGCTCCCCAATCTAGCGCAGGGTCTGCAAAGGGCTTGCACCGGCAGGCGTCATTTTTTTTCCTCCAGTCTATCGCAAAATCAGGATAGACTGCGCAGTACCACATCTATTAAAATCGTAGGCTCTCTGAGCCAAGTCTACATCTGCTATAAGGTCAAAGCTCGTGTAACTTATATACCCATATTGCAGGAGTGCCATCAATCCACTAATAGTTATTCAGATACTCATGAATTCCTTTTATCGGATGGATGACCAAGTCATATACAATTTTTTGACCATCCTTCACATGACGCATTAGCACAAAGTGTAGGTTAAAAAAAATCGATTGCCATTCGTTGCGGTGCACTGATCTGGGAAGTTTTAGGACACAAATGGGTTTGAAAATGGACTACCACATTACATCCCATTGTTCATCAACATGTTCCACATGTATTAAAATTTAGTTTTTGTTGGTGGTATACTGTACTACTGATGTATGCTCAAATTTGAGACACACCCAAATGATCACACATATTTCAATGACTCATATGCAAACCTGCATGTTCAGCTCCAAAACGCGTCCGGGGCCCAGACATCAAGGGCGGATGGGAGACCATGTTTGGCCTACAAGATCTATGATTTAGTGGGTGATTGGACATGATAATTATATAACATAGATCTTATAATTTATATCTTACAAGATCTTAGATCCAATAACACCCATGTCATGTTAATTGAGGTATGGCTCTGACATGGTGTGTAACATTGGATGTCACCCGGGCCAGATTTTTTGTCGAGTTTCTGGCGTTGGACGTTGGACTATGTGAATTTAGTCATTTTGAGGTTAAGAACTGTCAAGAAATTGGCGATGTATTTGGGATATAGGCTAAGATATGGTCCAGCGTTATCAAAACAGTGGAGATTGCTAGGGAAAATCTAGCTGAGATTTATATATCTTAATTTGTAGATGTGGTTCCCTGTCAATCTCTATCGGTATCTGGGATGTAGGCAAGGATATGGCAAGATTAGCTGGTTGTCATTTGAAACATACACTTGTCACAAAATGAAGGTCACAGCCAGGATAGGAACAGCAGAAGGCTGGTGGTCTGAAGAATAGGAACATCCTTCCCTCCAAAGACGAGAAGAATCTGCTGCTTTGAGCAGTTTCAAAACAAAGCTGTTGGTAGAAGATAATACGGGGTTCGAAGAAGTATATTCCGCAATATACATATAATGTATATATTCTGTATATACAAAGTGAACCCCCTAGATATAACTTAAGTTGAAAAGGGGTTTAACTATAGTGGTAAGTGGGTGTATGTTAGATTGTAAGTGGGATATCTTAATGACAAGTTACAAATAAGTTGATGACTTACAAGGCAAAATAAGTTCATTTCAGAAAACATACAAATAAGTTACACAAGTTAAGTTTCACATGTTCATTTTTTGGAGTTCTGGTTTTCATCACGTTGAAGTGGTAGTTTTCTGGCTCGAGGTGCGCGAAGAAGAAAAAAGATAGGAAAACAGATGGGAGACTTGCAGCGTCGAGCAACCATGCAGGATTTTCGCAACTTTCCGTTGCACATGACGGGTGAGCTTTGGAACTTGGTGGAGGGCACTGATACCACGGTATCGCAGCTGAGGAAAATCGAAATGCTGTGCACTTACCTTGTGAATTCACTGGGTTTGAGACATGCCAGTGAACCCACCCAGTCTGTGATGGTTGCGCTTGTTTGCAGGCGCGCCGATGCAGCGCAACAGAGTGCATTGCTTCAAACAATGAAAGCAGTGCTTAAAACCACTACGACCAGACCAAACAGACAGGAAGGCCATTGCCTGGTAACATATATTTGGAGCAGCTGCCTGCGGGCCAAGATCAGCTTCCTGCTCCCTACAGGGCTCACTTGGCAACTTTGGCTTTCGTGCCTGTACCGCCTGGTGTGAGCTTGGATGCGATCTGGCTGCCGGCGCGCGCAACGCCGTTGAGGAATAGAAATCAGCAGCTTGTCATCATCTCCACGAGGATTCCATCATACTCCTGGGGAAAGACGTATGAGTCCGCTGGCGTCTGCCGATTCTTCGCCCGACGTGACAACAGGGTGTTCGTATATATGTCGCGCTTGGAACTTGCCAAAAGCGGTGAGTCGCACCGATGCTTCCGGATGATTGGTGCCAATGATTTTATGGCAATGGATGCCCTGCAAAACTTGCACATCCCAGCATTCACTAGCGCTGAAAGCGCAAAAAATATTTGTTTGCTTTGATTTCACCTCAATTCGACTAAAAACAGTGTCTATTTGCACCTGCTTAAAAACTTAAATCAGATATAACTTAAGTTATCAAAGAGCTAAAATAACTTATGGTAACTTCACCGTAATTTAGATATGTCAGCTTGTATCCTCAATAACTTACTTATACCTAGGGGCTTCACTTTGTAAGTATATAGCATCATGTGATCTATGAACTGGGAATTCCCTTCGAAAACCAACCGTGAACTGGGAATTTGTCAATTCTTTTTTCCCACTTCTCACAGAGCGCGCATCGCGAAGGAGTCTATGCAGATATTTTGATGTGGAAGTAATGTCAAGTGAGTCAACCCTGGATGTTTACTCATTGTTGGGCTGTTTAATTGGTGGTATACCACTTTAGTAGCAGATGAAATAACTATTTAAAGGGGGAGTACCGCCTAATTAATCAACTAGGGTTTAGTCTTATTTGGTGTTGACATTTGGTTATGGAAGATGCTCTCGCCGCGAATTGCAGGCAGCCTGGCCTGTTTCAGGAACATCGCCATGTCAGCTTTCAATCACAAGCCGACACGGAACATCGCGAAAGTAGGCTATATATGATATAATATGAAATAATATTATCATATAATACAATTTAATATGATATAATATAATATACCATAATATTTTATGATATAACATCATATGATATAACATAGTATGATTTGATATAACATACTATAATATCTGTTAATAGATGATATGATATGAAATGATATGATATGTATATACACATATATACACTATATATATATTTATACACATGATATATAGTATATTGTTATATGATATATATATATTTATATATATATATGCAATTTGTTTGCAATCTCAAAATTCAATTAGTTTGATTTGCAACATCCTCCTCGCATGGAGCGGCACGGCCATGGCGCGCTGCGGCCGGACCATCGGCGACTGTTTGCCGCGGCGGCGAGCGTGGGCGGACATCTCCAGTGATGAGGATGAGGCAACTCTGGGAATACAATATGTGAATATATTACCCTCTGGTAAATAGACATAGACCCTGAAAATGACAAATTTTTAGAGGAAACTAATCTTCCAACCCCTATCTACCAGGGTCTATGTTAATTTACCAGAGGGTATATATATATATATATATATATAAATCACAGAAAAAGCTGGACAAACAAATAATTGTGTTTTTCTTACTGCAAATACCACCAAAAAAAGCTCAAGGTAGGCCCTGGTGGGGGGTGATCATATATATATATATATATATGGAAAGTATATGTTCATACTCCAGTGGCCGATTTACCTCCAAATGTTTATGTTATATGGACTTCACCCCCCAAAAAATGATCATCCATTGGAATTGGGGATGAATCTCAAACAAAACCTTTCGGTCACTACAAGATTCTTATAATATGGTTAAGACAATAATAAACCATCCCCCAAATCACCATTTTTGTAGGTGGTATCAACCATCAAACATGGGGTGGTTTATTATTGTTTTACCTTCATGATATTCTTTGTGCTTGCACGAAGATAATTTGACACATTTTTACATAATGATGGATTATGCGAATCATGATATACTTAGTAGATCTTAGTTATAGTATTAACCCATATTAACCCATATTAACACATTAACCCATATTAACCCATATTAAGTAGATAATGATGGTTAACCCATGATATTCTATGATAATATGATTATGATCCCAACATAGTATTAACCCATACTAAGCAATAATAACCCCGGATTCACAAACGCTTCGGATTGGTTACAGGGGGATGGTTCAAAAAACCAGTCGGTTGGTTTAGTCATAGTCGCTGAAAAACCGTTCATAAATTGGAGACAGTATTTGCATCAGCTATATATATATATACATATATACTCAGTGTGTATGTAAATATAGATAATGTAACAATAATAATAATAGTAAATACAAATATATATGTACACAGTGTGTATATATAGATATGAATTACAACCATTTGGGATTGAGGAATTTACATGGACTAGCAACATGGGGGTTCCAGTGTTTGAACTTCCGCTTCCTCCAGCGCAGCACTGTGCCAGGAACCCACAACCGTGTTCGCATTCCAGGCACCCGTGTGGTCCTCAGTGGAGTATGGAACTGCATTAAAGTGGTGAGTAGCCAGCAAATATTTTGGGTGTTCATCGACTTCATGTATTTTGTGTGTATATAGAACTGGATATATCATGTTACAAGTGCATTCTTTGAGATTAGTGAATGATTGTAATTTATCCAGTATCTATATATATATACATGTAATATGTACATGAATGTACGCTGTTAGGGATAGGTCGGATAGGTTACTATTGGGTCCATACCCCATTCTTGATGTAATGAATTTGCTAAATCCCCATCATATTACCAGATCATAATGACAAAAATTGAAAGGATGAAACTCCAGTCTTGTTGATTCAGATATCCTTCTGACTATGGTTTTAATCCCATTCTTTGCTAGATTACTATTTCTTTGAACCATTTTTTTGCAACCTCAAACTGGACTGATCCCACGGTAAACCATTGTTTTTGGACTGTTTTTTCTACTACTTGTAGTGGAGGGAGAATTTGGCAACAAGAATGGGAATTCCTTGCAATCTTGGGGTTGTTTAACAAAGCAATAGCAATTAATGGGGGGAAGTGGTTGCACATCTTTGTTATATGGTTGTTTTATATATATATATATATATACGTATGTATATATGTGCTTATTCAGTACCCAAGCTGGGGTCTTCGTATTGATAATTTCGATGATATACTTGTGGTTTGCCAACGTGGGTGGCTCATCTGTGGAGTTCGAGGTTCAACCCAGCTGTTTTTGTCTGGTGAATTGAGAGGATCTCAGTCATCGGAATTGACATGAACTGACGCCAGAAATCGTCCCTGTTTTCACCAACTATTTCGAGGCTATTAAAATCGATTATAGACATACTGTATTATATATGTATTGCAACTCATCCCATTTCTAGGCCTTTTTTGAGAATACTCAAACACAACTTGGGGATTGAAAGTTGTTGTGGATGAAACATGATGAAACATAATAAACATATTATTATAGACATTATATGAAAAATGACGCCTGGGCCTCATCAATAGCTTGCGTGGAGTGTGATCGATACCGGCTCTGAAAACGTATGATATGGAACGTGATAGAACAAACAAATACAGACAATCGAAAGATTAGTTTCACATTGGAATTTAATTTTCATTGTTTGGAAGATGGCGTTCCTCATGTTCGTATTGGAAATAACAACAAATTATTGGTGTTCCATTTTGGATTTCAGGCACAGCCTGGCAATCTGTATCCATCCATAGGCAATGCCCTGCCATTTTCCACCTTTTGGGGAAAGAGAGGCCGCGCCAATGAAGGATACCGAAGGCGAATCATGAGCAACTTGTGATGTGGCATACAGCAGCCAGTCCCTGATAGCTCTGTACCAATTCACGTGCATCACAGCGGTGCTTGACAGACTGAAAATCGCCCACCAGCTGGATCAGTTAGTTGCACAGTCCCCGCCGAACGTCTTTCGTTCACGGCGCCACGACTATCCCTGCTGGCAGCTAGCACTATGGCAGAGCGCTGGCCTCGCCCGGTTCGGGGATGTCAACCCTTGTCAGGCAAACCAACTCCTGTCTTCATGGATACGACATTGTCCACCACCATGATTGCTTCATGAGCTGCAGCATCCGCATGCGAAAGCATGGTTTTTGTTGCGTTGCTGTACCTGAGGTTCCACCCACCACCGTGAAGGCTGAGGTGTGGAGTCGTTTCCGATGTTAGGGGAACCTCCAGATTCAGATGCCATCCAGTCATTTTGTGATGTAATGGGACAAAATGGGATAGTGGGATATAATTTCATGATCATTTTGGCAATATATTGATATGGGGTTGCCAATAATAGTGGAAGACCCCCAAGTTATATCATCCAAGTCTATTATAGTCACGCGTGATTAAAACAATAATCATTGCTTAGTCTGATGAGGCGAAAGTAATGGTCAAATGACGTTAAAAGCTGTGCCCAAACTTAGAGAGAAAGCCCGAGATGGGTTGGACATGCTTTAAGCATTTTTAAACAAGTTACTTCTGCACACATGTCACATAGGGCATTGAATAACGTGGGGCGCTGGCTTCCATGTCTACGTCATACTTCCAGCTGCATTCGAATTGTGTCCACTTTAGTTTGACAAACTTTGACATCGAATTTCATAATGTTTTGCTTTTGTTTTTTGTTTCGGTACCACAATTCTGAATTCAGTTTTCCAGTGCAGGTTTTCGGTGCAGGTTCATCCAGGTCACAGAAATGTGAAGACCGTAGTGCCGTAGTGGTTCAGGAGATTGCCAAGCAGATTTGGACCCCAAAAGCATCTGTTTACCTCAAAAGAAAGGTACCCCAAAAGTTCGAAAGTACCATGGTTGATATCACTTTCATTGCCATGTTTGGACGTTGTTTTTTCTCCCACGTTTGGATCAACCCATCTTGTATTGTTGGTTGATGGTTATGTCCCATCAGCATCCACTACAATTTATAAGTATTCCATTAAATTATATCACCATAATTCACCATACATATAACTTATACAATCAAAAAGTAGTTTGGCACCATTTTAACGATATGTTACTTGTGTATCTCTGTGCGGGTGACAAAAAACACATGGACAGCACTGTTGCACGCTGCGCAGGAGACAGATTCCAACTCCAGCCTTGAGGTGGCCGATAGGATGGCTGTCACTGGAACCATGGTGATGTGTAGGGGGAAAACCATAGGAAAACCATAGGAAAATGGAGGTTTGCACTCTGGCAAACTAACAGCTTGCTATGGAAAATGGATGAACATGGCACATTTAGTTTGTTGATTTACCGAACTTAAAGATGGTGATTTCCCATAACTATGTTAGTTTACCAGAGGCTATCCCAATAATGTTATGCCTTGGTGATGTGTAGGGGAGTGGGCCTGATATTATCCCAATACTTAGCCAGATACAGTATCCCAATGTATCAGGCTAGTGAAATATGAGTTTGATGTAGATGAAGCAACAATTTGATTGGGTCTATAATCTGTAGGGAAATAATAGCCAGACTGGTAAGATGGTCTTGCTATTTTGAACATAGTTAGCTTTGTTGAAGGGGAAGTAGCCATATTTATTATACGGCAAAAGATGCGGATGTGATCAAGAAATGGCGAAGGTTACAGGTAAAACAAGAAGGGATAGTGAATGGTGACCAGCAAAGACGTGGATTTGGTCAAGCACTACTGATGGTAGGATATAGGATTGTACTATCATCCATGGTGTTTAACGAGGGCTGGAAGTTGCCCCAGCCACCCAACTAGTTCTTGGCAATAGCCTTGGATGATCCATGCAGTTTCACAATCAGTGGAGTACATCAGAATTGATATTCCCAGATTCTGTGCCAGTATTTCAGGGCTCATTTTTTCCAGGTAACATTTACTAAAACCATGAATGTGTCATTTACTAACCATTAAGCACTATTTTCACTACTATTAACCATCATTTACATCCGTTTGCAGTCACGATCGATCGTCCCAAGGAGCAATGGCAGCAGCCAAGCAGCTGCCATGTGTAGATGATTTCTTAGGAAAACATTTTCGGACAGGTCACCATGGAAAAACGATGAAAGTCACCATTTTCGCTTAATGAACTGGATATATATTATATCATATTATATCCATTGGTCATTTAGCTATTTCAAATGGTGATATGTTCATGGCAATTTTCGCTCGTGTCACGTTGCCAGGTCACCCGGGGTGGATCCTATGGCTCGGAAGAGGCGATCCGATGGTGAATTTTCGATGTAAAGATGAGGATTGCCCTCAAAATATGTTGCTTTTTTGTTTTCATGATGTGAAATTTGTGAAACACTGAAATGATATAATTCTAAAGGTTAAGATTTCTCATATGATTATTTATATATATTTATCATCCCAAAATGCTGGGGGTATCCCAGACCTCTGTGGCTTTGAATATCTGACACAGTCATCCCAAACCGCCCTGGGCTGGCCCCGTGAGGCAGATCGATTGTCAGAGGAGACGAACGGGATGCCTACAGCTGGTTGGCAATTCCCCATGAAATCACCAGTCATGTGGTGCCACCCAGTGATGTGAATGTTGGTTTATAAAGCCCATGAACTATATACGTTATGAATAGTTATGTTTGTTGGTTTATAAAGCCCATGAACTATAGTTATGAATAGTTATAAGTATAATAAATCATAGTTATTGGACTTATAAACCAGCTTAGCTGTCGAACGGGGGCCCCACATTGTATTGAAGCGCCATTCAATGACCACAAATCATGGCTGAAAAAATGGCGATTTCATGGTGAACTCATTGAACATTTGGCGGGTCAATTTGAAACCAATCCAATGACACACCAAATATCAAGCACCAACAAGAAAGGAGTTTGACATTTGAGATGCAAGCCATTTTGCCATGCTTTCCACTCGAGGAGCAGGCTTCTCTCCAAGTCCATGACCCAGAGGCACTTGGGTGGGTTTTCAAAAGCCAATTTCGGGTGGTTGGGTCACCACCAAAGATGGGATATCTGATACAAAGCAATTCAATTCATAGAAATTCATGGCAATCCATGGCCATTCTGTAGTTTCATTCAGTTCCAAACCTGGGCAAGTCCAAGAAAAATGGAGATTGAAGCAAGAAACATGGGATGTGACTAACCAAGTGTGGGAGTCCACCAACTTAAAGATCGGAATCCGACAACCCCCAAATGGTACAAACAATCAAAAGACCTGAATCAGCAGTGATGGAATTGTGAATCAAACTTGACCAAAGTGGTGAGAACACAGAATGGAGTATACTCGCTAGTAATCGTTTTGCGGGCAATGAGATCCCAACCCAAAAGAAAAAAAACAACGTGTGACAATTGTGACTTGGATCAATCTAATCAGGCCAATTGGATAGCCCCAGAATACATTTCGTGAACAAAAAATGACCAAAGTTTCTGAGTTGGTTTTTAGGTCAACCTCGGTTCGGTAGAGTGGTATAGTTACATGATATACGTATATATATATATATATATATATACCATGGAGTATTCAGGATATCCATGGATTAGTTGTTATTGCTACATATGGTTAGACGACCATCGTTGGTTGGTCAGCTATGATTTTCTCCCTTTGCTCTACTGGATGACCAGATTGTTTTTGCCAATCAAAGGAGCGCAGTGATGGAAACAGTGTAGAAACTAGTTATCCAAAATGAATCCTTACACTATGTTCATCCATATTTTTCCTCTTATCTGTGATTATCTCTCAATTATCTCATGATTAATCCATGGTGCACCCGGTGTACCCCAAACAAATGAATTGAAAACGACCTCATTTCGCTAGTGTTTGCTAGCAATTTGACCCAGCTAGGCGGAACAACTGGAACAAGCAGAGCCTGTAGAGGACTTGGATCAGGTGGAGAATTAATTCATCATCTCGGAGTGGACTTTAGGAGGATTTTCTATGGATTATGTGGATATATGTTGTGGGATATTGAGATGTTACATGCGGTCATCATCAGTTTTTTTTGGGGGGGTGGGAAGCCATGAAGCGTGGCCATGTCACATGTGCAGAACGATAGTCATATTTACCATCCGGTCATCCAACATGCCGAGGTTTGATGGGAAAGTCATCTACAAATCGGGAATTTGCCATTCACACCTTTGATTAGCAGAGGGTTTTTAGATGGGTTTATAGTGTTATCATATCTACTCCCCTCTCCATTGATATCAGGAGCTTACCATCCCAAAGGAATCATCAATGGTTTCAGATGTGGGGATGTGTAAACATTCGTACCCATCAGTTGATTGATGCCTAAATTTATGGATGCATTTGGGTCTTTCATTAGTGCTTCCGTTTTGAGGCATGCTGATGTTTTACTTCCCACGTTTAAAGGAAAATTGTCAGGAAACCCCAGCATTGACGGTGGAAAACAGCCTGGATTTATCCTTAAGCCAACCCACGGATTTCTTCCCTTCTCTGCATTGATACTTTGGTTTTTCATAATTTAGGTTTTGCTAGGAGGTTGGATGGATCTATCAGCACCTGCTTGATCTGCAGAGGCCTCTGGGATCCTGCAGGCCATAGTAGTATGACATTGAACATGCGGCAAGCGCGCCGGCCATAGAGAGGTGGCCCCAAGGGAGTGTGCCGTGCACCCTAGGCACAAGAAGAAGAAGAGGAGGACACGAAGACAGAAACGTAGAGCAGAAGCAGCTTGCGTAGCAAGTGCTGACTTCTGACTTTAACAACCTATTGACCGCATAGCCGCATAGCAAAATGGTGAGGTTAGTATCGCGTACGTCCTGTGACTAGTACAGCTAGACAACTGTAGTGCTGTGTAGACCGTTTCACGAGCTACCGGCACTACCGGTTTAGTACTTGGGGAAGAAAGAAGGAGTGGGAGTAGGAGTGGGAGTGGGGGTTGGAGTAGGAGTAGAGAAGAAGGAGTAGTAGTAGCAGCAGCAGTAGTAGTAGGAGTTAGGAGGAGTAGTAGTAACTAGTAGTAGTAGCACTACTACTACTACTACTACTACTAGTACTACTACTACTACTAGTAGTACTAGTAGTACTAGTAGAACTAGTAGTAGTAGTACTAGTACTACTAGTAGTACTAGTAGTACTAGTAGTACTAGTAGTACTAGTAGTGCTAGTAGTGCTAGTAGTACTAGTAGTATAGTGGTAGTTATAGTTATAGCGAGTGCGGGAGGGGGGAAGGGGGGGCGGACACGATTCAGACCAAACAAAAATGCATAGCATGAGAACAAAGGTACAAGCGAACAAAAAGAAACAGGAACAACACTTTCCAATCAGACACGGCGGCAGGGCCGGCGGATTCACAGCTTCTGCAACCTCCCCAGCATTTGCCCTGTCAGGCCTCCAGCTCCAGCCATGCTGCGTGGACCGCCGCTCCGGCGCGCGTGGACGCAGCGACCTCGCCGCGCTCGAGCAACGGCGACGTGGACAGCAGTGATGCCCCCACGGCGCGCGACGCGCGCGCGGTGGCACGGCAGGGCATGCAAATGGCGCGATGGTTGCGCGAGTTTGCGGAAGAACATCCAGAGCCAGACGTGCACGACAGAGTGCCTGGGATACGACAGAAACCGTTGAGATGACCGTTGGCATGGGGGGATGTCAGGAAGCATTGATGGCCAGTGGTTTGCACTAAAAGATTTTTGAAAGGATGAATCAGGGTCCGCCATTTTTACAGTTGAACACTCTGAGGAATTCCTGATCACCAGCATCATATTTTGGATCTTTTGATCACAGCACATGAGAGGAGTCTGAAGTACAAATGCAAAAAGGATGTCAAGGTAGTGGCAGGGGGAGCACCAGGGCACATTGAAGGTTGGAAAGAAAGTCAGATCGTGTCTTTGAATCAGGACCTGCCAATGATTGAACAGGACTGGAAGTGTTCGAAGCACCAAAAACAAATGTTTCGACATGTTTTGACTAAGTAGCCTAAGAGCGGTATGTTTTGACATGTTTTGGTTAAGTCGCCTACGAGCGGTAAACTTGTTGAAGTTCAGTATAGTTCAGTGGCAGATTTCAGTTGTTGCTGAGGAGATGCAAACAAATCTTCAAAGCAAAGATGTGACTCGGTTGTGAACAGTGCTGGCGGCTGTTGGCTCCCTCAGACAATGTGCAGCTGAGACAACCCAATTGATTAAATGTGTGGCAGGATTCAAGGGGCAGGGCTCAAATTTTGTGTCAGGCATGCCTATACAATCCTATACATCAATATTCAACAGTGCTCAGTCATCTATTTATTTATGTTCAATTTATCTCACAAATGCTTGAGGAAATGAGTCAGTTTGCAACCAGGGTCCCTTGGGTCCCTTGGCCAGCGCTGTTAAGGTTGAAAAACTTCGGAACATCCGCGAGAGACTGCTGGCACAACGCCAAGCCAAAGAGATTCAAGGTGCCACGAGCGACCGTTGACTCGTCAATCATCCGAGTTTGGGCTAGTTGTATTTCTATCGAGTTTTATGTCCTTTGATAATCACTTCTCCAGAATCTATTGATCTCTTTTGTTACCCCCCAAACAACTGTAGGTTTCCCAACATCTTTGTACTATAGTTGTGTTAAAATATGTTGGGGAATTGCATCCCAGGTAGTTACCCAAGGTACCCATAATGCTGCAGGTCTCTTGCCACAACGAGAAGCCGAGATGGAAGCTCTCAGGCGAGCGCACCGCACCGAGCACGAAACGGTCCGTTTTACGGTCACTGTCTGTGAGTCACTGGGGGAGTTACCATGGTGCTACGGTTGGGGAAATTGTCCAACTATATAGATGCTATAGATCTGGAATGATATGGAATGATCTGGATTATGATAAATTAATCCCCCTTGAAATTTCCTCTACGAAATGGAGGGGGTTAACCCCCAGAAACGGAACCAAAATGATATAGGTTTTTTTTTTAGCTTTTTTGGAAGGGTTGGGTGAAACCATTTTGTAGTGCCCAAAAAAATTGATAAACCAAACTGTAGTGATTTACTTTTTAAAAAGTGCCCATTCAGTTTTGGCCAAGAAATTTATAAACCAAACTGTAGACATTATCGGCCAGTTGAGGCTGGGTTCCAAGAAAATTATAAAACCAATTTGTAGTGACTTTGTTTTCTCAAAGTGCCAAATGTTGATTTCCAAGAAAATTACAAAACCATTCTGTAGCCATTTTCAGTGCTCAGTGCTGATGTCCAAAATAATTATAGAACCAATCTGTAGTGACTTGGTTTTAAAAAGTGCCCATTCAGTTTTGGCCAAGAAATTTATAAACCAAACTGTAGACATTATCGGCCAGTTGAGGCTGGGTTGGTGCTGGTTTCCAAGAAAACTGAAAAAACAATTTGTAGTGACTTTGTGTTTTCAATTGTGACAAGTGCTGATTTCCAAGAAAATTTCAAAACCAATCTGTAGTCATTTTCAGTGCTCAGAGCTGATTTCCAAGAAAATTGCAGAACCAATTCGTAGTGACTTTGTCTTTTCAGTTGATACGTGCTGATTTCCAAGAAACTTCAAAACTATTCTGTAATATTACTGGGGTGATCGTAAGGTTACCGATCCTTTTGGAATCTTTGCAGATGTTGGATATGTATGGATATGTTAGCACTGCACAACACTTCAGCCCAGCCGCGCGGACTGGTTTTCAAAATGGTTTATAGTTTTTTTTGAAAAATGTCAATCCATAGTTCACAAAAAGGTTTAGTTTTACAAAATGGTTTTGTTTTTTTTGGGGGGGGACTTTCACAGATGGGTTTATGTGCTGAACAACTTTACAAAATGGTTTTGATGTTTTTTCAGAAAAATGGAAAAACCTGATTTTTTTTTTCAAGGAATACTACTAAATGGTTTTATATTTTTTTTTTGGATTTGGCCAGAGGTTGGGGTTGCCTTTACAAAATGGTTTTGGTTCTTTTCTAAAAACAACGAATATCCCTACAAAATGGTTTGTAGTTTTTTTGGGAAAATGTAAACTCATTGATTCAAAAATGATTGAGCCTTACAGAATGGTTTATAAAATTCTTGGAAATCTGAAGATATCTGAAGTTTTTTCTACAAAATGGTTTGTAAAATAATTGCTACACAATGGTTTTTAAATGTTTTTCATCAAAAAACATTTAAAAACCATTTTGTAGGGAGTTTGAGGTTGGGTGCCTCTACGTTTTGGCTCCCCCAACCCAACCCCCCAAATTCCAAGGGGGATATAAATTATAAGTCAAAGCTACCGGTGCAAAAGGATGAACCGTACCGACCTAGCCACATCATGGGAATGATGAATAGGGGTAACTATCTCGAAATGACCTGATTTCAGACTGGATGTCCCGAGGGAAGATCGGCGTCCTTGCGCTCAGTACTAATCATATCTAATCATAAAACGGGACATTTACCATGATGATTTACTATCATTTACCATATGATCTAAATATATCTAAATGATATCTAAATGATTTACCAATCCAAAGATACTAATCATACTACTCCAAAATGCGGTTGATATTTGGATTTACTATCATTCACTAATGGTAAATCCTCATTCCTCAACCAAATGATTTGTCATTTATGGGGACTTGCCATTAACCATTGAGTAAATAGGAATGGGAACTGCCAGGGCTAAACCTTGGTGAGCCTTCACTCTACTCTTGTTGCGGCACTGACGGTCACAATGTGCAGTCACAATGTGCGGGCCAGCATGACAAGTGGCACCTGGCAGCCTCAGACTTCTTGAGGAACAGCCTCAGACCGGGAAACCAAGGGCTCAAATAGCCTCTGAGACCTCTGGGCATATTATACCCTCTCCCTCTGATCATCAGGCTTATCAGACGTGGAAAATGCTGGAAAATCAATGAAAATCATCCAGCATTTCAACCACCATAAATCAGGATTTCACAGCAATAAAGCTCCATTTACGTTAGCCGTACGTTGGATGAAACCAGAATGCCTCTTCGGCTGCAAAACGACCAACTTTGAGGGAGTTCCAGGGCCCCAGCTCACCGGAAAGTGCTGGAAGACCTGCCAACAGAAAGTTCAGTGATAAAACTTGCCCAGTGATGTAACTGAATATTACATGTATATGTATATAATATATTTTATATCATATTAATAATATATGAGTGTCCGACAAAATTATTAGCAAGTGAAAGTAGTAGAGAGCTGCCTTGAACTTTGCGTGCCTTCACGAAACCTTCACAACCGATAGGGGACGACCCAGCACCGATACCCCTATATTCCAACAAGTTCCCACAATAATCTGCAGTAAGGTGTTATAGGGTGTTTATTTCTGCAGCAACGGCTACTAACAAAGGCTTTAAACAGCTTTACCTCAGCTAGCTTTCCTCTTAGAGAGCGCCAAGCATATTGTTTGCGGCAATTCATGCACCATTCTTACCGATACCCCAACCGTAATGTAGCAGTACCATGAATGTATATGGAGCACATGGGCTCCTCACTTTAGATTGTTCCAGTACGATCCTCTAGAGATTGTAGGAAGTCTGTTAGTCTGTGGAGATCTCCAGAGAATGGAAGCAACTTGTCGTTCAATGGAAGCGTTTCTTTCTCAATACCCTAATTGGTAATCAAACATGACTTGCCGGAAATTCCTCCATTGAATTTTCGATAACTTTCCCATCTTGCCATTCTTGATTACCAAAGGCCTTTTTTTTACCAAAGGAAATATATGCATATAATCATATAGATACACATATATGATGTGTAAATTGGCCATTATCCATCTAACTAGAGCTACAATAGCCACAAACCATAGTTCACCAAAGGATACCAAACGCCCCGAGTCGTCCTCGTTCGTTGATCCCAACAGAGCTTCCGACAGGGCCAAAGTAATGAAGTTGCGGCAGGAGAAATCGGGCAGATTCGGGCAGATATTCAACATAGCCTGGTTGATTGGTTAGGCCTAGGGAATGAAGGGCTGCCTGGCTGGGGGGATTGTGAACTTAGGACTGCTCATAGAAGTTAATGATAATAGGATTATATATGGTCCACAAGTTAATTATCCACAAGCTAGCTATCAATTCATTAATAGGAGCATCCAAGTTCCATCGCCTATATGTTAGTATATAAGAGGAACTTGACCAATGAAAACTTGATATAACTTGCATACTGAGTCAAGCAAATTACTAAAAAAATAAAATGCGGATGCTTGGGTAAATCTTGGTTGAGTAGCTTGATACATGCTCATACTTTACTCTTTTGGCACACAGGGGGGACACAATACACGGCTACAAGTGGAGCCCTTGCAGGGTTTCTAGGATTAGCCTTGATGCAACTAATCAACGTTATTGTTTTATTTCAAGCAGTCAAAGTCGTTCCGGCTTTTCGAGAATTGTTTCTGGAGTCCACCAACAGAAATGAGGATGAACATGAATGAACAGTTGAGGAACACATAAACACATCTACAACAGATATTCCCTGTGGTGAAGGCTTAAAACATCACCTCAGATGTTGAACTGAAGTAGTGGCTGACCCTATGAAAAGGTGATGGTTGCGACGGATGTTTGGAGGATGTGTTTGTATAATCCTAAACATCTTGATATTTTTCAAAAACATATAGGGATGATATGTAGATATTTTATGATATGTTAATATATGATAATCTAATGTATGTAGATGTCTGGATATGTACGTTACATATAGATTATGATTCGCCCAAACGTTGCGGGGTGTTTCTTCGATTCCCCCAGTGAATTCCCTGGGGTTCTTCAAGTGCCCTGCATTGAAATGATGATTTTCCAAAACCTGACGGCTGAGAATGAAAAATTGGTGACTACCGTAGGGTAAAGTAACATTAAGATGTGGAGAATGCTGATTGTTTCCCTAGGAAAATAATCTACAAATGGTTGGTTTTCCACATCCATGTTAGTTTACAAGAGGGTAATTAGGATAACCCCTAGGGGGTGATTGTTTGTTTCACCAAAATAGTGTTCATTGGCTACTACAATACCCCAAAATGGCGTTCCCCCCTTGATCCGGGTTAACATGACTGGCACATCCCTGCGCTGCACGTTTGACGTTTTCCCAGGAGATGTCAGAGGTCTTGAAGAATCGAGAAGCCAAAGCGAAGCAACAGGCTGAGGACCAGCAATTTGACGACAACGGGGTGATTTCAGGTTTATTGCTGCGCAAGATGAGCCTGATATAACATGATATAACACTGGCATACACTGGCAATGGGAAATCCCGGTTGAAAGGAAGATCATTTGCAACTTGGGTGCCTTTCACTGTCATGATTACTGTAGATTTTTAAAAAATAGGACGCATAGGTTGAGTTCCAATGCTTGTTGGTGAATATCATTGAATCGCCATTCTTTTGTCAGTGAATCTCTAAAGTCTTGTTGGTGAGCTTTCCTCGGTTGGTCTCTTTGTGTTTCTTCTGCAATCAGACCGTTTTTCTTGACTAACCTCCACATGTTCCTTGGTAAGATCCACATGTTCACCAACATGAAATCCTTATTTCATGATAGTCAAATTGAATTCCACGTGTCAATAGATTACATCCTGTTTTTTGATCGTTTTTTTTAATGTGTCAAGGTAGAGGGTCGCTGAAATGGATCCCACTTGGGCACAGGAGCTTGCCGCCTTGCAAGAGATCCAAGAGGAGGACAAGCGGGGTTTTTGGTCACAACTTGGTCGAGTAGCTCGATGGGTCATGTTGCTTTTGCCGTACATGGAGATATGGGCCATGTGTATATACATATATATATATATATACTTATATATATAATATAATTCATTAATTATATATATACCACTGTACCAACCAGCTGAAAAGTAAATTTGATATTTGAGTAGGTCCATGTGTTCGTAGTTTTCCATGCGCATAGTTTTGCCATGAGTGGAGATGTAGACAAACTGATTTTTGTTCTATTTCGTTGTCTTTCTGTTGAGCCGTGCCAGAAATAGGAATATATTGTATACCAGTAGTACCGCACAAGGCGATGGCGGAAGTTGCAAGGACAGGACACTATAGGAGAGGTGAGTTGTTGTGATGCATGGATGGCAGAGCGAATCCACTGATGGACCGAAAGGTGGTTGGAGTTGTGTTTTTTGGATGCAGCCACAACTGCTGGATGTAGTGTGGTGTAGTGCAGCTGTAGTTGTAGTTGTAGTGTAGTGGAGTTGTAGTTGTGTGTAGTGTAATCAGTGTAGTGAAGTTGCAGTTGTAGTTGTGGTGGGGTGTAATGAGTGTAGTGTAGTGTAGTGTGATGTTGTGTAGTGTGCTGTAGTGTTGTGTGCTGTAGCGTAGCCTAGTGTAGTGTAGTGTGCTGTAGTGTTGTGTGCTGTAATGTAGTCTAGAGTAGTGTAGTCTGGTGTAGTGTAGTGTAAAGTAGTGTAGTTGTAGTTGTAGCTGTATTTGTAGTTAGTGTAGTGTAGCGGGTGTAGCGTAGTGTAGCGTAGTGTAGTGTGGCGTAGTGTAGCGTAGTGTAGTGTAATTGTTGTAGCGCAGTGTAGTGTGGAGTAGTGTAGTCTAGTGTAATGTAGTGTAGTTGTGGTTGTAGTGTAGTGTAGTGCAGTGTAGCGTAGTGTAGTGCAGTGTAGCGTGTTGTAGTTGTAGTTGTAGTCTGGTGTAGTGTAGTGTAGTGTAATGTAAGGTAGTGTTGTTGTAGTTGTTGTTGTAGCTGTAGCTGTAGTAGTAACAGAAGTTGTGTTTGTAGCACAAGTTGTTGTGTAATTAGTGTAGTGTACTGTAATTAGCGTAGTGTAGCGTAATTAGCGCAGTGTGATTAGTGTAGTGTAGTGTAATTAGTGTACTGTAGCGTAGTATTTTTTGCATTTGCAGTTGTAGTGTAGTGTGGTTGTAGTTGTAGTTGCAGTTGTATTTGCGGTTGTAGTTGGCTATCTATATTTCTATCTATCTATCTCTCCATCCATCTATCCTATCTATCTATCTTTCTACCTTTCTTTCTACCTTTCTACCTTTCTTTCTATCTATCTATCTATCTATCTACCTTTCTATCTATCTATCTATCCATCCATCCATCCATCTGTCCTATCTATCGATCTATCTACCTACCTACCTACCTACCTAATCTTTCTACCTATCTATGTATCGATCTATGGATCGATCTATCTATCTATCTACCTCAATCTCCCACCCATGCATTTTTTCAGTACTTGATCTCGGGGTCGAAAATTTTAGGCCCCAGAAATGAAGAATGACCCCAATCCCAATTTTAGACCCTGGCACTTCTAGAGTTTCGGTGTTGATTGGCATTTTTGCACCTGATCCCATGCTGATCCAGCCTGTTTGCTTGACATCGATGCTTTGGAATATAGGAAAGAAACACAATAACCTGATGAATACGATTGCACACCCCAAAAAAGAGTGTCCGGGTTACAATCCGTTCGTCAAAGTTAGTCAAAGACTACATACGTTTTAGGTGGATCAATAGTGGCTATGAGTTCCCTCACAGGAGACCCATGGGGGTTCAAAGGAGACCCATTGAGATTCAATACATGAAGTTTCTTTAAAATAAACGCATGAAGTTTCTTCAGAAAACTTCGTGATGGACTCATGAAGTTTCTACATAGTAGTTCCATGACGTTGTTCATGAAGTTTCTCCAAAATATATCCATGAAGTTTCTTATATAAACATACTTAAACCGTGGCCTGGCATGAGGTCCCAAACGCAGACCCTTTCTTTCCAGAAATTTCTGCCCCTTTTTTTTCGCTCGAATAAGGAAATTTGGAAAACTGTTCATGAAGTTTTAGAATCCCCATTTATGAAGTTTCTTCATCCCTGACCCACAGCTGGATTATGACGTTTTTGGCTACTCCCCAGTCATGAAGTTTTTGATGCCTGACACACGCGCTTGGAATTCTTCATGACGATTTTCAACAATCTTCATGGTGTTGTACCATCCCCATTCTGTTTTTGAGGTTTTTCATCCCTGGCTTCATGAAAAACCTTCATGCATTGAAACCCCATGAAGTTTTTGATATGCATGAAGTTTTTGATATGCATCTATTAGATGGAGGATCCTGGTCATGAAGTCTGAGATTTTTGCTGCAGTTGTGCCTTATCATGATTTCAAAACCTCGGCCATGAAGTCTTGAGGAAGATTATATTCTCGAGGGATCACATGAATTATTCACGGAAATATAAATGCAGAGGAGGGGTATCATGCTTAAAAAAAGAAAACGCAAAAAACGACCTTAGTGTCAGATTCGGACCCAGATTTGAAACGTTGGTTTTTCCATTAGGTCCTGAAATTGTACGTGCTCCGGGGGTTGCAGGTACCTGTCTTTCTGCAAGTTTGAAAACAAAGCTATTTTGCAAGACTCCCTCATTTTTTGAACCTGGCAACGTCAAAAACGAAGCAATTCTGCGAGACTTCCTCAATTTTGGAAGTTGACAACATCAAAAATGAAGCAATACTGCGAGACTTCCTTCAAAAATGGAAAGTTGAGTGCAGAGCTGACGGCCTCGTACCAACGCGTGTTTCGCGTTTTCCCACTCCATGTGTGTAAAGTGCTTCGCCTGCCACGAAAAAGTGAGGCCAGGTCATACGAAGTGCAGCACCTTTCACGCAAAATCATCTTAGCAAACCCGAAGATCTGATGCTCCAAAATGCAACCTTTCTCAGGAAATCAGCGCCCTGGCCTCCTAACACCTCTGATGATCTCTGATGAACATGTCTCTTGTATTGCGCCTGCGAAGCGAAGTGCATGTTTGCAGATCTTCTTCAAATGTACCACGCCTGCCAACGCTTTTGAAACTGCGACAAAACCCTCACGTTTTGCTCAGTTTTGGCAAGGTGCAGAATCCCTTGCGCCTGCCACGCAAAAACGACATCTGAGCGTCCAAAAGTGCTCCGAAATGTGCTTCGCGCCGCAGCGGCGTGCACGTTTTCGACATCTCAACTTCCAAAAATGTTCCGAGACCGTCAGTTTTTAACACTTTTGACTTCGAAATTTGCTTCGCGCCACAACGGCGTACATTTTTTCGACATCTCAACTTCCAAAAGCGGTCCGAGACCGTTGGCTTTTAAAACTGTTGACTTCGAAACGTGCTTCGCGCCACAACGGCTTGCTATTTTCGCCGCTTTAGCGCGCCTACTTTTCGACCCTCCGGAGCAACAAATCATTGGAAAAACAGAGTGAATCGCGACTTTGCCACCTTTTCGCGCACCTGCATCTTCTTTCCTCTGACTCTTTCTCTTCTCTTATCTTCTTTCTTCTTCTCTTTTCTTCTCTGGCTATTCCAACCTCTGCTTTTCCACCTGTCCATATTGTCGGAAGTTTGGCTTCTAAACTGAGTTCGAGTAATTATATGCATATAAACACAATATGTATATATATAACGTTATATATATACATACACACGCGATTATATATATATATATAATATTTTTAATTATATATATATACGTATATATATATATATTTATGGATATATATATATATGTATATATATATATGTATATATATATATATATATGGATATATATATATATATATGTATATATGTTGTATCAAACATCGTACTTAACCAGCTGAAAAGTAAGTTGTTTGAAGTGGATCCAGGATTTACCCCAATGCAAAACCGGACAATGACTTGGAATATGTCTTGCTCAATCCTTGGTGAGGCTGACACAAGATGTTTGCGGAGAAATTGTTGGTGCAAAGGCAAAGTGCTTTGGCAATCCAAATTACCAGAAAGTGTCGGACTATATATGATATGCATATATATATATATAAATTATTTATATAATTATAGTAGCGGTTTGCACATTTAAAGAGGTGTGTGTTGCGTTCGTTTGTAAAGTTCAATGCCCCTACCCCCAAAAAACACATGGTATCCCTGCACCAATTGATTTTTGTGACAGCAACTTTGAGAGAAATATTTCATCCCAATCCAAGACCTTAAGAAAAGGGGGCTTCTACCCTCCGGTAATCAAACGTGGCAATGGAAAAACCACAATTCATAGATGATTTCCCATGGAAACCTCCATTTTTCAGGGATGTTCAATTGCCATGTTGGATTACCAAACGGTACCGGGTACCACCAAAAAAACAATCTCAAAAAACCGGGGCAAATCCTCCAGGATTTGCTGGACTCACCAGCCAAAGATCAAGGCAACTCAGATGCTCAGCAACGCCAGGCCGAGGGCTCGAAGTGGTTGATAACCCGGGTTAGTAAGTCCCCTTAAGTGGACAACCCCAGTGAGCAATGGGATACAATGGGTACAATAACCACTTACTAAGTGGGATGATCCTGCAAGTAGCCCAGCTCTTGGTTTTTCTTTGTTTTTCTGAGAAGATTTCCCCCTAGTGGCACAGTGATTCCGTAATTCGTGGTGATGTTTTATCATTGCGGACTTCTTACTCCAGTGAACTCACCTTTCTCCCAACACCTCAGGTGGTACCGTACGGACCCATCACTGGGATGAATGGCCCTGGCAAGGAGCAGATCAAAAGCGAGCTGCAAAGGGTGCAGGCTGAGAACCAAGAGCTCTTGCGCGCTGCACAGCAGGCGCCGGTTCTGAACGATTTTTTAACCGGTGTGGTTTGGATGGGATTTGGGTTTTGTGTCATCAAACATGGCTGGAAAATTGTCATTTATAGTTGACTTTCATTGTGAAAGAAAAATGCTGCTATCGGGAACCACCCCAAAGTGGGATTATTGTGGAATGTTTTTAAGATCATGTGCCCTCAAATGGGATGGGTTGGAATAAAGTCTATGTGTATGTGTAGCCGACATGTTAGATGGCTCCATTTAAAGTTGAGTTCAACGTATTATACGTAGATGCACAAAGTAACTACCCTCTGGGAATGGAAAGTGACAATAGATTTCCTTTATATAATCTTATTATATATATATACATATTTATGATGTTTCTATTGCACACGTGGCTTTCCATTTCCTGCTTTGACTACCAGAGGAGTTTTTTTGGAGCAAAACAGCTGCCACTCCACCTTTTCCAGTTTGAGGTTCGATGACTTTTTGGGAGATAGAAAGGCTCTACAAGAACCAACATGGAACTGATATCTACTGAGATGAAATCCCTTCGTTGGGACATGATATTCCACTTGCTGGTGGGATTCGATGTGGTTGATTCCAACTATTTGATCAACGTCATGTTCTTTGATTGGCAGGGCATTTTCAGATTCAATATATGCCATATATATATAAATATACTGTATAACTGTTTACATCCACATCCACACAACGTCTTTCTCTATATGTATATAATTATATTTACAAAGAGAGAGAGAGAGAGTGCTAAATAGATACCTACGCATGCCAGGCATGCCACAACCTTTGGTCAAAACCACCATGGTCGTTTTTGCAAGTCTTATGGTCAGGTGCGCAGCGAGGACAGTGGTTCTCAACGACAAGTGCAGGCTCAGCAGATCATGTCTTTCTCGATAATTGGTGGTATAGCAGTATGTTAGAGGTGATACTATGTGATACTCCTCGAAAGATACGCAGAGATGAATATATGCAGTATGCAAAGATCATTTATGGCAGCCTCATAGCAACATATTTGGTGGGGAATTGAATAGGTTTTCAACCAGAAAAAATTGGTTATTCGACCAGAAAGTTTGAAGATGTTGGACCTCATAGCCGACCTTGCCTGAAAAAAAAATGCTGTTCACAATAGGGAAATCATGAATTTCATGACCGAACAGCCCCCAAATTTGAGGAGTTTAAATTGCTCGGAAAATTGCTAGATATGGTGGCTAAGGAAGTGGGGTTTCAGAAGCCCACCCTGATGGTATACCTGGCTTTGACCCCAAATAGTCCGGTGTCGAACCCCACATTACCAGTGGTTGGTGGTTTCAGCTCTTTTTCTGTTCCATTCCCATGATCCCAAATTGACTTCACATGTTTCAAGGAGGCTCAACCACCAACTACATCCACTGGAAATTTCATGCAGCTGCAGGTTCTTCAAGCAGAGGTGGGCAAGTTTCAGGCGCAGCAGCGTGTTTTGTCAGTGTGTTTGGCAGCAGGAAATACATTCGGTGCATTAACGCTACACTCAAGGTCAGGGCCTTCTCTCTGTCCGAGACTGTCCTGTTCCAAAATGTCTCACTTCTCCGATATGTACAGCTTTACTGTGCCGATTGCTCTTGATCTTCCTACGCGCTTGCCTCAAATTTTGAAACGCCCAAATCCTCTGATTTAACCAACATTTTTCCCATTTGCGCCAAGAGAGGTCTCAAGATTGCCGTATATTGGAGCCCTTCCCGATTTTGAGACTTGATGCGGTAAACCCAATCATAAACCATCACACCAAACAGACTCGGGGTCCTTTATGGATATACCATGATATACCAATTAATAGTGGCATTTGTTCATATCATGAGTCATATATCCTCTGTTTAACCAAGTATCCAGATGATTACAAACCAGTTTTATCCCCATTGAATCCATAAATCTTCATGGTGCAACTCGTCTTTGCGTCAGTTCACTCTTCACGATCTTCGAGAGGGAACGGCGGTGGCAGAATCCGAGCTGGTCATGATGCTCAGATACCACCGGTCACAACGTGGTCGCCTGATGAATGCTGGAGTAACAACTAGGAAGGCCTTCTAAAAACCAATGGAAAGTGGCCTGGAAAATGAGTGTAAACCTCGGTTTGGTATGGTTTAGTAGGTTCATGGCTTCATTGTTGGCAATGGAAGAAGATTTTACCTAGTGGCAAAAACTGTTTTTTTGGCATATTATGTTTGCTGGAATGTCTATGGTCTTCACATCCCTTGTTGGCGAAGTATTTCATTCAGGTAGAAAAGAAACACCTGAGTATGGGAACGACAAAATAAATTTCAAATCTTATGGTGCACAACAAAAACCAAGCCAAATAATCTATACTTTCTGCTTGGTCCAAAGTTTGTTTGTTTGTTTTCCCAGCTAATCCCCCGATCAGATCCCATTAGTAGAGATAAAACATGCAGATTGCGAGGAGTTTTTTTGTTATGGGATGGATGGCCATAATCCATATATATCTATGGGAAGGATGTTCTGACCATGGCACGTATGGGGTTGGCAAAACATCCAACACCATCTAAATAGGAGGATGACCAGCACAATTAACATATTTGATGTGAGCACAAGGGTGGCAAACACTCATGTCATTTCATATTCCTGATTCAGGTCTTTCACTGAAACACAGCCATATTACTTACTTAATATACATGCACATATCTACTCAATCACTCAGACGTCTATACACACATTTGCATGTACATGAAACATTGCAATGTAGTGTGTTGTAATGCCATGCAACACAATGTGAGATCATGTAACATAATGATGTAATTCAGTGTAGTGCAATGTCATTCAATGTAATTCAATGTGGTGTAGTGCATGGATGGACGGATGGATCGATTGATCGATGGATGGATAGATAGATAGACAGATAAATAGATAGAGAGAAAGAGACAGAGAGTTAGAGAGGTAGATAGGTATAGACATATCTACGGTATGTATTCATGAATGTATTCACAGAGATATTCATAGATTAGTACGATATATTTACATATGTATATTTCTAGATATGTACTGTATATAGATGCAATTACATACATGCATGTATGCACGCACGCATGCACGCACGCACGCATACGCACATACGTACATACGTACATACATACACATACATACACATACAAACACATACATACACATATATACACATACATACATACATACACACACACATACACGCATACACATACATACACATACATACACATACATACACATACATACACATACATACACATACATACATACATACACACACATACACGCATACATACACATACATACACATACATACACACACATACACACACACATACACGCACATACATACACATACATACACATACATACACATACATACACATACATACACACACATACACACACACACATACACGCACATACACACGCACATACACACACATACACGCACATACACACACATACACACACATACACACGCATACACATACATACACATACATACACATACATACACATACATACACATACATACATACATACACACACATACACGCATACGCATACATACGCATACATACACATACATACACATACATACACATACATACACATACATACACATACATACACATACATACACATACATACACATACATACACATACATACACATACATACACATACATACACATACATACACATACATACACATACATACACATACAGATACATACACATACATACACATACATACACATACATACACATACATACACATACATACACATACATACACATACATACACATACACATACATACACATACATACACATACATACACATACATACACATACATACACATACCTACACATACATACACATACATACACATACATACACATACATACACATACATACACATACATACACATACATACACATACATACACATACATACACATACATACACATACATACACACACACACATACACGCACATACACACGCACATACACACACATACACGCACATACACACGCACATACACACACATACACACGCATACACATACATACACATACATACACATACATACACATACATACATACATACATACACACACATACACGCATACACATACATACACATACATACACATACATACACATACATACACATACATACACATACATACACATACATACACATACATACACATACATACAAACACATACGCAAATACATACAAATACATACAAATACATACATATACATACATATACATACCTATACATACAAATACATACAAATACATACAAATACATACAAATACATACACATACATACAAATACATACACATAGAGGTAGAAATAGATGGAGATAGAGAACCAGAGAGTTCCCCCAAACCTTTTTTGCTGTACCCCCACGAGGTGCAGATGCAAGCGAGAAAGGCCGAAAAGCTGGCGTGACCTGGCATGATATCATGCCAAATCTTGGGCCAGGTTCCCTCTGAAAGTGGGAAGGACCGGTGAAAAATCAGGAATGGCTGGGTCTTTCGATGATTTCTTATGCCTTTCCCATATAGACTATAGACCTAGTTGTTCCCTGGTGTCTGAGATTTGTCTGTACTGAGGGCATTGCACGATCAGCAAACCCAGCTGAAAAACATTGAGGACCGCAGCCCGAGCCAACAGCAGTCAATGTCATAGCTTGATGTGTCGTTTTTCAGGTTTTCTTCTTGTTATTGATGCGATTTCGGTTGATTAATGAAGGGAATGCATGGGAACGGTACTTAAGTAGTTCAACTATGTTCAACTGACAACTACCGTTGGTCTTCTTGCTTCCTGGAAAACTTCCTGGTTGATTTTTCTGCAGTTGAAACTCAGTCATGAAGCTGAGCCGACTCAAAGCGCGGCCGGTCAACGGAGAGCAACCCCGAACCCGAAACAATTGAACAGTAGAATCCTAATCCTATTAAATGAAAAAAAAATGTTCCATCTTTTCGGATCTTTCGGGTGGGTTTCTATAATTGAGGGAGAGAGTGTGTGTGTGGGGTTGGGACCGAATTTGTTTGGTCATGCCAAATATATGACTGATGATCATAGACTTTCAATATACACATGTATATCATATGTAGATATTCATGTACACGTGCCAGTGTGTGCAGCTGTTTGCATTCGTTTCGTCAGTTTTATCCCGCCGCAGGAGGAACATCGAGTTCTGGAACAGCAGGTCAAGGCTTGAATTGGAACAGCAGTTCCCAGGATTCGTGGTGAAGGGACAAGTTAGAAGTAGAACCCCCGCTTTGTATCTCTTGGAAAAAACCATGGTTTCTTGTCATTGGTTCCCGTAAAAACCAATCCATATTGAGCAAAACAGGAGGATCTCATTCTCCCAGAGGTGGCCATCCAAAGGGCAGCCCCACGAAGGGATGACTCAGTGATCCAGTGGATCATCCAGTCGGACAGGAAGAGAAGCAACGGTCTCAACAACTGGAAAATGAGAACCTTGGCATCAGGGCTACCCATTTCACCGGATGTTTCATGGAAAAAGGCTGGCATTCCAACTGGTTTAGTATAGATGGTGAAGAAACAAGTTGCACTCTGATACTGAAGCTTCTGAGCACTGCTGATGAGTCAATAAATTCTCCAATCTACAAGGACCCTAATGTCGGACCCCATGTTTTTCATGTCGGCATAGCAATTTCAATTGGTCCTTCCTCCATATCCTCATCATATGTTGTTTCTATTCCCATGATAGGTGAAACCTGAAGCATACAGCAAACCTTACCAAATTTGGACTCAAAAACGCATGGATTGCCCAATAGGATCGTGGGACAACCCAGCTTTTTGGTCCCATGGATCTCCAGAAAACTTTAGCCCCGCCACGCCAAAGGAAAGTTTCACTCCAATGCTCTGTAAAGGAAGCCGAGGCATTTGAGGGGCGTCAAAAATGGTGTATTGTTTTCTTTATATTTCCCTGATAATATTTAATTAAAGAATTCAACATGTTTAATAGGTATCTAACTATATAAATGATACTAAACGGATCTAGATGGGCAATTCAAGAATTTGCAGCATGAAAACTCACCGTTGCAATAATCGGTAAATCATCGAATTCAGTGTGCCATTGTCCATATGGTGCAACAAAAATTGAAGAATGGCAATCCCTGGGTCAAACGTGCCGGCCTAATCCAACTTTGGAACCCCCAATAAGCAAAGTAGGTCTGGGATGGCCTGGGGGCCTGGATTTGGGTGAATAAACCTTGGTGAATGATTTTTGAGGGATGAACATGTTTGATTTGTTTGTGGGGTATCAGCCGGCCCTGATTCGTGGTGAGTTGTCCTGGCCATGTGTAATTGGGTCACAATCGACCCTGTCTTGGTTGGGTGAAGTGCCTGGCTCTTGCTGCCTTGGTGCACTGGGCCAGGACATAAACACAAGATGACACAAGTCACTCACATAGGAATTGGGATGAATTGGCTAAGGAACATTAGGGAACTCCATCCGATAGGCCCCCAAAATGTGTAGCACATTCAGGACATTTCAGGACATTCTGCAGTTTCAAGGTGATGGCTGCGAAAACACATGAAAAAACACCACGCGAATGATGTTGGTGTCCCTCGTAAGCTGACATGTCCATGTGGGTGTCTGAAAATGGAACATACCATGACATACCCAGAAAATTGCCATTTAGCACAAACCTATGTAGGTTTTTATATGCCCTGCTTGTATGGACGAAATCTTCATAAATCTTCGCTGGTATGCATCTCCCCCCTACACTTCAACCGACTTGACAGGGATTTCTTCAATAATGCCAGTAAACCCCAAATACTCCCAAACCCATGAACATAATTATTGAAACCCCGTTAAACCCCATTAAACCCACTAAATCCATGAACATAATAAAAATCATCGTGCATTACCCTTCCAGTATTTGCCCAGTGAGTAGACCCTTCCCCAAATACAGGAAGCCTGCCGTGTCTGGCAATGGCGCTTGCGAAAAGAGTTGTGTCAGATTGAGAAGACGGAGCCTAACAGCAACTTTGTGCTCCTCGGCACGTACTTTCTGGGGGGGCCGATGTGCATAGCCTGGGAAGCATAATTTGGTCAATAACCATCTCATCTGTTTGGCCAACCATATTAAGAATATCATGAAACATTATACAGTACATGTTTGTTAAGTTCGGGGTTGGTTTATTATTGGATTTGCCACATTTAATTTAGCTTCCGGGGAAGAAACAAATAGGAAACAGTTGGTAGATGGACCCCCTCACCAAGTTGATTGGGATTGCTTGAGATTACTGGGGCCCTGAGCCCTAAATAGGCATTAGGTATTGATCAAGATTGAAGATCCACAATATACCATCATTGTTTATCCATTTTTGGATCGTAAGCTCACAAGACATCCCATTGTATCTCTTTTTGGGTACCGTATGTTGGGGGTTATTCACGAGAGATTGCAACATAGCTGGAGGTGATTGGTGGCAGTATCAATACCCATGGCTTCTTGTCAACAATAATACATGTACACAAATACATAGCAAGTATGTCCATGTAGCACCTGTGTTCTGCACATTTCTGTTGCTGAAATATCTCTGAAATCACCCCATGATTTGGGTTGGAAAACCAACATGTTGGTAAACAATGGTAGACACTCGAAGAGCGGGCAAGTGAAAGGCCCAACGTTCTGTTGAGGATTTGAGCCATGAATGACCCTGATGTGGATAACGACCCCAATTTGAGTATTGTGGGGGACAATGTGAAATAAATCCCGAAAGTCAAATGCTTGAGATTTGTGTTTTTTGGAGGTCTGTGATTTTGACCCCTGGTGGCCCTCCTTGCAACATGTCATAACATGTCCGACTGTCCGAGCTCAGCAGGATTCAGTTGCTGAACAAAGCTCCCGAAGTCGCGGAAGTGCATGGCAGTAGTTGACCCCACGACCCAAGAGACGGTGTTCGGTATAGGTGGAGCAGTGGAGCAGTTTTCTTGAAAACAAACTGCTTGTATAAGAGCTGGAAAGGTATTTTTCAGAATTCTTATGATAAACCGAGTAATTAAACCATACAAAGTTGGAATGTGATTTGTTGTGTGTAAGATTTAAGACATGCATTTTCCAAGGCAAGATGGTACAATTGGATAGAATTCGTATAGATATAGTAGCCAAATTGCACCCTCAAAGTAGACGTTCCTACTCCTGTTTCAACAGATTTACTTGTCGTCTTATCTGGATGAGTTTTCTTCAGTTTCATGGACCCAATGTACTCTGCAACTGACCACTGCCTGCAGGCACATCAACATGTTTTTACATCCATTCATATCATATTTAGTCCTGGTTTTCATAAACCGCATGGTTTATCCTTTCCTTTTTTTGTATCATTCCGAATGATTAAATAATGGTCATGACCACAAAATGCTGGTGTCTACGGTCTAATGTAGTCGTCATGCATAGGTCAGTGTTCTGCGAGTTGCTTTGTAGGAATGGCGTTGCCACTATTGCTTCTTTGTGTTGGTCATTCATATATTATATTATATTATGTTATCTTATATTATATTATATTTTATATATTATATTATATTATATAATGTCAAGTTAGGATTAATAAACCCCGCGGTATTAATCAACCCCCTCTAACCAAAAAAAATGTAATTTAAAAATGGTGGTCCCCCAGGATTAATAAACCCTCCGATTAAAAAACCACCAGTGCTGAAATCAATTTTTGATCCAACAATTTTTATTTCCAATTCTATTTATTTCCAATTTGTTTTTACCTTTTTTTAATCATCATTGTTATACTTAAGGTTTAAGTTGATCATTGAAAATGTCAAAAAACAACAATTCCCCAAATGATCGATTTCTAATTAAAATCTTTATAAAAATCATCAGTTTGGATAGCTCCCAAAGGGTACCCCCCATGAGCCCATGTCCCCCATTAATAATAACCAGGGTTTGCCCCTGATTAATCAACCACCTTTCTGATCCATGAGATTTTAACAAATCCAATAGAATTCTATTAAGATCTAATTGACGTAAGCCATATCCAATTTTGTATGGTTCAGAGTTGCTTATTATTAAGGGGTGGTCAAGAAACTAGCCAGAAGGTACCCCCCCTACCTTCTGGGGGGGGGGGAAGGGTTGATTAATCCGATGTTGGCATTATATATCATTGGTTGGTTATTCCAAAAAATGGGTGTGAATTTCCATCCTTCATGCCAAGATGATGGCAATGAGTACAGGTCTCGCATATCGCTAGTTGCTGGGGGCAACTTTGCTATCGCTTTGGGGCGCACAGGCAACGACCGTGCACCATACGCGAGGTCCAAGGTCAGATCCAACTGGTGCAGACTCAAGAGGCTGTGGATCCAATGGTCCTTGTCCTTTCAGAAAAAGACTGGTTGGTGGTTTGGAACATGGCTTTTATTTTTCCATACCCATATGCTCCATGTATGGAATATTTACCAACATTTGCCCGAACAAAATCACCCAGTCATGTAGGTAAATATACCATACATGGAGCATATGGGATATATTGGGAATAGTAACCCCAACTGACTCATATTTTTCAGAGGGGTTGAAACCACCAACCAGAAGAAAACTAATCACTTTCTCACCGCTTTCACGACTGTCTTGCTCTGCCGAAGATGTTCCGTTTCGACCTTGCTCACTGTACACACGAAGATTTCATCAAACCTATCGTCTCTTCCAGCGATGGGAAGATGATCCAATGCTGTAGACACTCTTCAGAAAAATCACCATCCAAAAATGGGGGAGGCAACATACATAAAATTATTCATTTTAACAGCCATCCGTATTTGTCTCACGTTTCCATGTCTATGTTTTGATGAATTTGCTGTTGGATTTGACCGTATAACGTTCTCGCAGTGCGAGATGTCGCACTGCCACGCCTCGCCGCTTTCCGGGTTTTCGAGCCGTCGGTGAAGTTTGAAGAACTGACGGCCGCGCGACGCCTTCGCGCCGTGGTAAAATACGCGGTGAAGACTTGTAAAAATACTGGTGTGCACAGCACTGTCCCAGATCTCTGAGGATTTTTGGTTGAGCCCAAGCTTGGGACTGTTGTGTTCAGTTCTGTCAAAAATTGAAATGACTCGAATGTTGGAAGATATAGAAAATATCTGGGGAAAACTTGAGAAATTACTTTACTTCGAGTTATACCCACCATGACATTTATACATTTTGTTTCTGGCAAATCTTCTGGCATTCTATCTGACATATCTTCTGGCATTTTATCTGGCATATCTTCTGGCATTCTATCTGGCATATCTTCTGGCATTCCATCTGGCATATCTTCTGGCATTCCATCTGGCATATCTTCTGGCATTCTATCTGGCACATCTTCTGGCATTCTATCTGGCAAACATTCTGGCACTTTATCTGGCAAATCTTCTGGCATTCTCTGACATTCTATTTGGCATACCTTCTGGCATTCTATCTGGCATATCTTCTGGCATTCTATCTGGCAAATCTTCTGGCATATGTTCTGGCAAACATTCTGGCACTTTATCTGGCATACCTTCTGGCATTCTATCTGACATTCTATCTGGCATACCTTCTGGCATTCTATCTGACATTTTATCTGGCATTCTATCTGGCATACCTTCTGGCATTCTATCTGGCACATCTTCTGGCATTCTATCTGGCATATCTTCTGGCATTCTATCTGGCCGTTGAGGTCCAGCGGTGCACATTGAGCTGGGAAGGTCCCAGGTTGAGGTCTAGCGGTGCACACTGAGCTGGGAAGGTCCTAGGTTGAGGTCCAGCGGTGCACACTGAGCTCGGACGTTGGCGAAGAGCTTGGCGAAGAGTTGGCAAGGCAACAGTGGACGTGGAAGTGGAGGCAGAGGTGGTGAAGGAGATGCTGGCGGAGGAGGAGCAGGAGGAGCAGGAGGAGCAGGAGGAGCAGGAGGAGCAGGAGGAGCAGGAGGAGGATAGCTAGCCGAGGAGGAGGAGGAGGAGGAGAACAACTGTGATAAAATCTAACAACCCTCACCTGGCAGGTGGGGAAATATCGAAAAATGAGAAACTCAACCTTCATTTTTTTCAAGACATTATTGGAATTGCATCTCTTGGGACGGTCGCTGGTCCTGTGCACACGCTGAGCTACAGCACGGGGGGGTGCCCGTGCTGTGACAGGTGGAAAGATATGGAAAACCTTGACATCATGGATCTTCATGGATTTTACCGTTAACAATAAATGTTCAGGACAAATCCATTCAGCAAACCAGAGTTGGATCAATCAAATATAATCTATTTTTTTATAATCACTTATAATCTATTATGTTCTATTATACATAATGATATACATATTATATGTATTATATATGTAATGTAATGTTATGTAATGTATTGTATTGTAATGTAATGTAAAGTAATGCAATGTAATGTAATGTATGTATGGCAGTTTTGTGTTAACCGCACGGTGAACGGTGGATGCAACAGGATTCTCATTTGCCAGGACATTTTGGCCAAGATAGGTACATCATGTTGTCTTTGGGAAGGTGGTTTTTTCTTGGCGATTATATGGGGATTATATCACCATATAATCACCATACCATCACCATATAAGCACTACTATATCATCACCAAATGTCGCCCCAACTGGGATGGTGGATCACGGATTTGGGTCGACAAATCAACCAGTGTGATGTCCTAGATGTATGATCATACGTTATGAATGCATCAATGCATTGGTTACAGGTACCCAGTATAGGTAGCAATTATGATGAATGATTGTTCTGTAGATTTTCCGGTAAGGTGAAGTTCTTTGATTTGTGGATGTCCAACCTGGTCTGCAAGCATCTGGACCTGTGACCCTAGAGTGTCCTGCATCTGAAACAAGTGCAGAACTGCTTCCAGTTGGGCATATCATATCATATAAAGTCATATAAACCTTGGTGAACAGTGGGTGAAGGGGCTGAACGGGCTGAAGGGGCTAAAGATCCTAACATGAAGCCATGTTTAGCCATTTCCATGGAGGAACACTTGGTACCCCATCAACAAATACCGAAAAAGAACATTTTCATGGAGTACTTGAAGCTAGCCATGCCATTTTTCCTGATGTGCTTTGTGTAAATTGACTCACCTGGGGGTGTGAAGTGCTTGATAATGTCAACTATATGTTTCACTTTCCAATTTCGTGAAGGATGATCCCTCATTATATAACTGATACTATTGGAGAAGAGGGTGGAACCATCAAGTAGTCAGTAGTAGAGTTGGTTTAGAAATGAACAAACAATCTCCCAGATCAGGATGAAGGGACATTTGCAGGGTTTCCCCCCAATGATTCCCGGAAGTTTTTTTGCCCATGGTTTTCTGCAGATTTTCCAGCCAATGTTAAATGATCATGGTAGGGTTTCCTTGAATCGTCCAGATGTCAGCAGATGCGCACCCTCCCGGCTATCAGTTGCCTTCCATGCCCAAAAGTGTGCTGGTGATGGATGACGTACCTCACGTTGACCTTCGCGGTGCTCCGTGGAATCGGGGAATCATCCCAAATGATCCTGGCTTTCAGTGTACAGAAGCCCGGGACCTTGGGTTTCGGCTTCGGCTTTAACGTGTTTGTACTGTCATACTTCAACGGAATCTTTAGAAGGATATCATTATAGGTCATTTGTATATATGTGTGTAATTAATGTGGAAAAGTCAGAACTAACCCGTTGACTCCATGTTGGTTGATTCGGTTGCTTGTTGTCTCTAGTTCTCCTGGTTTTATCTGAATCGTTGCACTTTATCATATATGAATCTCAAAAATATGATAATATCGAAGGGACATCATTAGATAGCAACTATTGTTTATGTCAAAATCATAATTCTCATGTCATCATGTCATCAGTGTGGCCTGTAGACAATGCAGCTATGTGATGCAATCAAGAATGATCCATTATTTACATGGTAAATTTCCCAAAGAACGCAAGACTCAGAGTTTCATTTGTTTGTTTGCAG